CTTTTATTAAGAGTAACTTGAATGATATTCATTATAAAATATCTTTATGAAGCCATTCCTGTAAATGTGTCCAGGGATGTCTGGACATAGCAATAATAGCAGCTAAAATTTCTTGCCGCTTACTATGAGCCAAGCACTGTTCTAAACTCTCATCACATTTTTATTTATTTAGTACTCACAAAACTTAGAGGTAGGGACTATTTGTTCCCATTTTATAGGTAGAAAACACTGAGCCTAAAGCTTAGGTTACTCATCTGAGGTCAGGTAGCAGAGTCAGTGGTGGAGCCAGGATTTGAACCTAGGCTGCTGGTCTCCGGGGTTTCCTACTGTTGACAAACCATGTGAATGTCAGAAAAACCTTTTCTGGATATTAGGATTTTTTCTTCTTTATACTTAATATTTTTTTAAAGCCTATTTTTATGAAACCAAAGAAGTGATTTTTGAAAAGGAAGCTGGACAGAAACAATCTGAAGGATTTGGCAGCCATTTAGCATGTGCCAAGGTGCCCAAGGGTAGAATTCGATGACCTGCTTGCAGTCCTTCTGTTTCCGTGATTCTGCTGCTCCAAGTGATTGGTTGTGCTTAGTAGTCTCAGATCTTCTGAGAGCCTGGAGCTATTGGGATCAGAGGGTAAGGAAGAGTCTCTGCCCTCAAGAAATGGGCAACTGGGGTCTGATTGCTGTCTGTCCAGAAGACATGTATGATAAGTTTGCTAAACTTTCTCCTGTTTTTTTTACCTCTTACCTGTTTGGTAATTTTAATTCTGTAGGGCTGTGCAGAGTGACAATAGGAAGGCTGTCTCCCCAGAGTGTGGCCTCTGAAGACAGGGGCCTGAGCAGTACACTGTACATTGCATTGTTGGTTTGTTTCCTTTTAGGAGCCTCAGGGTCAACTCAGAGGAAAATGAAAGATGGCAAAGTCAGTCCTACTCACTTGCATGTGAGCCAGAGTGGTTGGTTGTGTGGGAACCTTGTGGTGCCCAGCGGAGGTCTGGCAGGACCAGCTTCCGCAGCTGGGGTGCAGAGCGTTCAGGTCCAGTTACTGCAGGTAAGAGCCATTGAGCTTGGAGGAGACGGGCCACAGGGGTGGCTGGGCGAGAGCTGTGGGCAACGCCTCAGGCCTTTTTCTTCGAGTGCTCCTTTCTCTCAGTGAACGTCCTTTCCCCCACCCTGCTACTAAATCATCCCAAGTCTTGTTTTATATCCTTCATGATCTTTCCATAACTCTAGCTTTTCCTTTCTTCCTGTCTATCGCACTACATTTGTCCAAGCTTTTATCTTCGTTAGGATTGACTCATCAGTGTCAGCACTCTCTCTGGTTTCCGCCATACGGTCTGGTTTCCCCCATATGGTCTGTCTTCCATACCACGCTGAGGTGTAGACACATGTCCGCCCCTGCCCAAGGCTCCTCGTAGCTGTCCTGTTGGGCTGCCTGAGGATCGCCACAGACAGGCACTGCGCCCCTGCTTCTGGCCACGTGGACGCCTTATGCGTGGCTCCTCATGCTGCGCGCCCTGCCCAGACCTTACTTCTCCTTTCACAGCTGAGTGAGGGGGCTGCGTGACGCAGCGTTTGTCACCCTCATCTCGGGGACTGCTTGTGGCACTCTAGACAGTGCACACTTTATATGGTAAAGGTGCTAGCTTTTTTTTTTTTTTTTTTTNGGATCATGTAATAATACCCCGCCCCAATGACTCCAGCCGGTAAAGGTGTTTTCTTCTCTTGAGCAAAGAGACTAGAGGCTGCCTGCTGGGCAGATGGACACTTGGCGCCCCATGGGGGTCAGGTGCCCCCTCACCTGGCCCTGCTTTATTCCCTGAGAGCCTCTCACGGGTGCTGACCGACAGTGTTCACCCTGGGTTCCAGGACCTTGGATGTATCGGAAGACTTTCAAGGGGAAGGCAGACATGGATAGTTTTAAAGGAATCAACTTTCAGATTGAATCATACCTAAAAGTGAATTGCCTGGGAAAGTACATTTGAGTCCAGGAGTTCTGCAGGTTCTCCTGTCCACCTTTCCTTTCATAGCTGTGCTTCTGCTTTCCAAAAAATTAGCCGTATCCTTCAACCAGGCTTTTACCAGGGTACATACATCACGTAGGGTGGGTATAATAATAAACCATAATTTTCCAGAGCACCAAACTCAGGGCACTTCAGAATGCTGGTTTCAAGGAAGTGGCTGTCTTGTATAGATTAATACAGGCGTCAAAACTGCCATGAGGCACTGTTGCCAGTTTGCCCTTTCTCATACAGAGATTTTTTTTGTTTTTTAGGGGTGAATGCTGAGATGTTCTGAACCAAGATATATTGTATATGGGGGGTCATGGGAAGGGGACGTTGGAGCAGTTTTCATTTTAAGCCCTCACCATTCTCAGCCCTCTGCTATTGTCATGGAATGAACTGCTCTTTAAGGAGAGAGTTGCATGAAAGCAATAACATTCATATATATAAGCATGAGCAGTTCTTTCAGTTATTAACATTTCATCCCTAGGATGAGTTATTAACTGGGAAGAAAAATAACCTTCGGGTGCTAGAGCAGTTCAAGTTAGTGGCAGTGATTCTTTTAGATGTAACTATGTATGATGTCTGCAGGATTACGAGATTTCCAGATACTAGGTTGAAGGTACAGACTGAAAAGAGAATTTCCATAATTTCTTTCAGATTAAGTGTGTGCTAATATAGTAGTCAAAACTAGCTAGCTTATGATACATCATAAAATATTCCAGTTATGGTCGATCTTATTTCCTTTTATAAAATTAATGCCTCTACATCCTCTTAACAAAAATACAACCATATTCTAGTTATTGACTAGTTTTTTAGCAATATATGTATGCTCTTGCCTTTCATTAGGTGTAAAGGAAACGTAATCTTGATGTCTTGCAAAATTAGTGGAATTTACTTCTGATTCTGTACACATGATTTTAACTTAATTTCCTCATAGTTGAATAGCATACATGCTAGCACACATTTAGCAAAGGAATACAAGGGTTTGATCATATCTCTTAGACTATGACCCACACAGTTGGCATTGAGTCATTACAAAATAAATAATGAGAAATGGCTCAGATTTATCTTGTTTTTATGTTATAAAATTAGATAATAAATATTAGATATGCATCATTTAAATCTTGCCTGCTTTTAAAAATAACTTTAAAAAGATACATTATATGATGTCTTCCTTTAATTCACCCCATAGTGGTTTTCATAATGTTCCTTGAAACATGTTTCAATATGTTTATTTGAATTAAAAGATGAAGTCA